AAAAAAAAAAAAAAAAGTCTGTTTGGAGCAACTGCAGAGATTTTTTATTTTTTTTGTCTTGTTCTGATTTCATTTCAATTTCTGTGCAACTGACTGCTTGTAAAACCCCATAATGTTGGTCCCAGAATGTTCAGCAGACCTTTTATTTTCTATTTCTTCATGACTAAAACTAAAACAGAATATGCATTTTGATTACGGGAGCGCCTAAAAAGCCATGCGTTGTGGAATATCAAGGTAAAATTGTGCAAAATAAGCAGAAGTAACTCATATTTTCTGTCACCATCATCGTCATCTTTCAGTAAATTACATTGTGGGGACATCTACTGGCTAACAAGGTTAATTACTGTGCAATACTAGCAATGTTGTTAATATTAGTTTGGAATGAAGCAACCCAAAACTGAAATATTTGACAGAATTAAAATGTTAATTATGTGGTTTGTAGGTTGTTAATTGGATTTTTCAGACAGCTGTGTTGCAACTGGGCTCATTAATTAAAGAGTTTGCTGGAGGCACCTGCTGATTAAAAGAAGTCAAAGCAGCAAAACAAGAGTGGAGGCAATAAATCTACACAATCTGCCAGTAAAAGCTCCAAGTCAGGGAACCAGGATGTGGATTCACACCCGTCATAGATGCAGGGATTTGGAAAATATGTCAGAACACTTTGACATTTTTACTGCTACTGATATTAAAAACCTCACATTGATGATCTTGTTGTGCAAAAAAAAAAAAGATTTCTACAAGATCCAGATCATCTTTATTCTGCAGGAAAACAGATGCTTTAGTAGTTTTTGCATCATGGTTCTGTGCCTTCTGCTTTTCTACAGTATTGTGTTGGGGGTTCTGGTGTCATTCAATTTAATTTTATATATAAAACTCTTCCTGGAAAACGGCCCATGTTACTTTAAGTAACTACATCAGACTGACTGGCTCTTGCTTCGCGCTGAAACTAAACTTTTTGGACACTTTTGATTGTAAACCTAAAAACACTGACTTGTAATTGACTGTATTTACTTTTATTCCGCATTTTTTTAACATCGGAGCTTCTGTGGAGACTTTTTCCAGCCATAATTTGGGATCCAACCCCGACCCATTTGTCCTGGTTCCTATCGGGACCACCTGCCCACCTGTGCGCCGTTTCCCCAGAAGTCGGGGTGCAGCGAGCAGGTGAGGCGGTGAGGATGAGTCTTACCTGGCGTCCTCCGGCATGGCTGGGGTCCGCAGGGCCAGGCAGGTTCAATATATCCAGGAATATCTTTCTGTTATCTGGCTTCACTTAGCCTGACAGTCGGGATAAGCAGCCGCTTCTCAAGTCAAACCAGAGTTGGTAAAACCAGCTCCGGTTCTTCTCCACATGGAGGAGGCGGAGCTGGCAGCAGGTGACCAATCACAGACATGCACAGGTGTACCGGCACCGGATTGGCAGCTTTCACAAAGGAAAGAGTTTGAACTCGTAAAACAGACTGAAAGTCAGAAAGGAAAGCTGCTTTATTGATATCACTAAAAAAAAAATATTAGGGAAGAAGTAGATCTGAAGATAATTATCTGTGCAATTAAATGAACATTTAGGTTTTTTTCTTTATTGTTTCAGTTATTTCTCACAAGAAGAATAAACTATAATCCCAAACCAATGTGAGGAGTTTCAGGAAACCAAACCCTGCAGACTGTGTGAATGCAAAATCAATATGCTCGTCGATATCCCTGTCCTTTGGTGTATAAGTCGGTATTATTCAAGATTCAGTTTATTTGTTGTCAAGCGTCACAGGATTGTGTAACAAAATTACAGCTGTGGCCGTTTGGTGCTTCTCACAGAAAGACAAATTATCTAATAAATAACTATTTAAATAATAAAAATCGACCTTTTTTTTCACGGTGATGTGGACGATCGGTTCACATTAAATCTCATTTTTATGGCTGTGAGACACTTTTCGTCTCATTCTTTCATATGTTTGGCTGCTGTAGATGGTTTAGGGGGAAGCAAAGAAGTGTAAAAGCATCATTCAGATCGATTTGGTGGCTTATTGCAGGTTTTATAAGGTCAACAATCAGGCTCTGAGGCTTTAGGTTTATGATGGGTTTCTGTTTTAGGATTGCATTGATTTACAAACGCAAAGGGAACGTTTCTCTCCTGTGCCGTCCGCCAAAACTCAACAAGGATTTTATTCACACTTCTTATTGGACCACTTCCTAAGTGCAGGTGATTTTAACACACACATATTCTGCCAAAACTTTTAATGTCACTCAGCAGGCGACTGGCTTGTGTGCATGTTTGCATCAGTGAACTTTGTCACATTGCTGCCATCTCTGGTTCTGGTGTTAAAACTTAATTAACTGGTGTATTAGCTCTTTAGCTGCAGTTTTCTACGGCTCTAACAGACTCCGACTCTGCAGTCTGGACGGCTGAGGAGCATAAAACACCTTCTAGCTCCATCTGCACAGACATCTTGGATCAAACCAAGACTGGAGACGTCACTGTCTGGAAAAACTCAAACGTCTGAAGCAAAAACAAGAAAAGGAAACTTAAAGCTGAAGTTGCAGAAGCAGCCTGATCGTGCACCGTCCTCGCCGAGACCTGCTGACAGATTTTTCTTTCTTGGACAGATTGGACAAGTTTAAAGAATCCTCAAAGTCGGTGTATTTTTCATAAAAGAACATGCTTTAATAGATGTGGAAGCGTTATGCTCAGTTACAAATCTGGAATGTCTGGGAGAGAGAACAACAGTTATCCAGCACTTTGAGGCACCTTGAAGAAAATCACATCACAGTTCATGTGGTTCTTTTCAGCTAAACACTGCAAACTTGCAAAGCGAGTCCCGCTTGGGCTCGAAACTACTTCATGTTTGCTTGTCAGCCAGCAGCTCTGTCAAGTGTGCAGGAAGGGCGTTCAGTTGCTTTACCTACTGTCTGCAGATCTGAGGATTACGCAAGTTTCTATCGTCTACATGTTTCTGTCTACGGCTGCACGTGAGCTCAACATTCTAATATTGCGTGACAAACATTAAAGGTTGGCTTCGCATGTGTTCAAAAACCTTTGGCAATGTGTTACCTGTTGCTAAACAAACTGAAAAAGGAACAGAGGAAATATAATCGAATCGATCCGAGGAGTCGTGGAGGGTCGACGGTTTACTTGATCTCGAAGCTTTTGACGCGGACCTCCCCGTCGAAGTTGATGAACGAGTATTTCTCTGCACCCATGCGGTTGGGGAAGTTGATCGTAGAGCCGTCAGACAGAGTCACCACGAACTCAGCAGGGGTGAAATGAATGGTCATCTAAACCAAGACAGAGAATAAATACAGAGAAATATGCTGAAAAAGACTCTTATTTGGGAGTGGAAAGTTCAAACTTGGGGTCAAACATCTTAAAATCATTCCACTATGAACACCTAATAAGAAAAAGATCTGTGTGAGTTTAAATTCGATGAAGTCATTACAGATGCAGTAGCACACGTTTTCCAACAGAGGCCACTAACACACATGCAGGGAATCACACCTGGAACTCTTCTCCCAGCTGGAAGGGAAAGCCTTCCCCACGCTGCTCCTCGCACCAGTTGCCTCCTTGGTAGGAGTTGCAGACGATCGTGTTCTCGTCTCCGTGGGCGTTGAAGCGGGGGTTGATGTGCATCGTGATGTTCTGCTCGTCGGGGCCGATGTTCACTGCAAAACTACAGACGAGCGCAAAGATTTAAGATGGATGGGAAGACGGTAGACACACGACGTCAGCCGTTGCTAACCAGGAGTTAGTCAGGTCCTTTACTGAAGTAAAAGCAGCAACGCAGAAATGTAAAAATACTCCAGTACGAGTAAGAGTCCTGCATGAAAAATCATCTCTTAGTGTTTGCAGCAAAGTGTAGGCAAAGTATTAAAAGTAAATGTACTGGTTTGGTCCTTCTGATTGATATATTAATATGTATATATATACACATTGGAGCTACTTTGAGCTACTTTATAAGCAGTTTTATATACAGACACACCAGATCAATCTGAGGTGCTACAAGTTGTGCACAACAAATCTGTCTGGAACTTTTCTCAAAGCTTTAGATCTGGGATCATTTGAATATTTATTAAAATTAAACTATGTGAGAAATTTAGAGGACGAAATCACTGTTTGCTGGCTGACAGACATGAGATGTGATTGACTTTTGTGAGATGAGAAACCACTGTTTTAATATTTAATCATGCGTCACATTTTTAAAAGCTGTGTTTTATTATCAGTTGTGTAAAATCTTTATCTTTAAAGTGAATAAAGATATCAAATATATGTAGTGGAGTAGAAAGTACAGTATTTCCATGGACGTAGAAATCACCATAAAATGGAAAAACTCCAATAAAGTACCTTAGAATCAAGAGGGTTGGTTCCAAAGTGGACCGAATCACGTTTACTAGTTTTAGAGAAACATGGGGTCAGAATTTTGTGTTGCTAAAAAGCAATCCTGGTTGTCGGAGGAGTCATTATCCAAAGATGTTTCAACACTGTCCAGAGATAGAAGGAGCTTCTCTGTGAGGACGTATTTAAGTTTTAATTTGCCAAAGCAGGGCTGCAAGGTGGCGCAATTGGTAGTATTGAAGAGTTTCCATCATAAGGAACCAGAGATACTTCTGAGGACCGTGGGGTAGAAACAGATGCTTGATGGTGGTGAATTAAGTTTTTATTTGACCTTATCGTACCTATGAGTTGAGTTTTCACGGGGCTTGAAGAGGCGCTGTCCGCCATCTTCAAACGGTTGGCGATTCCTGTGGCTTGGTCCAGTTTGAGACTAAATGTTCATGCCAGAACCATCATGGGCCAAACTTCAAAGTGGCGCTGTGACGTTACTAGTGGGCTGCTGGTTGGACGAACTTGTCGATCATAAACACTTATCAAGAAAACACAAAACTCCACTTTGGATTTTTTGTGGTTTGGCCCACTTTGGCACTGAACTGAACACTTGAGTAAATGTACTTTCCACAACTAATAATTAGCTCATAATTGATTGACTAATTAAGTCTGTGCTGGTGTGTATAGTTAGTGTGAGCAGTAGTTTTAATGTTGAGAATGAAACAGGAACAGAAAGTAAAAGAAAGAGTAAGAAGAAAAAGAATGAAACTCAGAAGAACACGTTTCATCGGTGAAGCCTTTGTTCGCTTTGTTGGTGTAGCTCAAGACGACAAACACGAATAATAACCTTAGTACTAATTTTAAGGAATATATTTTTGAGCTAAGGTTTCTTATAAGCTTATGGCTTTAACAATTACGATTTAGTCAAATTCTTCAGACAGATTTATAAAGTATTTAGTCGACACAGCAGCACTCTGCATGAAACTTGTGGATTCTAGTGTGCTGTACTGTGAGTGTAAGACTTTGCTTTTTGTAGTTATACTGAGATGAGTTATTTCAAAGGATCAAAATACAGTTTATTGTCCTACAACTTACTTGGTAGCATCAGGTTTGGTCACTCCAGTGATGGTCAGGGTCTGTCCGACCTTGAAGGACATGTTCTTGATGATCAACCCCTGTGCAGGACAAACACTGCGTTATTGTGAGGTAATACTGCTGAATTTTTTACTAGATCCAATTATTATTGCAGCTTGGGGCAGAGAACAGCGCTGGCAGGAGCCTCGGCCAGCTCGCCAACCCTCACTTCATCCTTGGAAATTGCAAAACATGTGTTTTCAATTATACTCCCGTCGACTCTGTGGTCAGAGAGTCCAGGTCTTTCTTGTCCCGCTGCTGCCACGGACATTTTCCTCTAAGCTGATTTTGGCAGAAAACGCTGAGAGGTGATGAGGGAGGACTGCCGTTCGGTTGAGTAATACTTTCCTGAGTGCAATAACGGACGGGAGCCCCACTCTGGAAAAAAGGCTAAGCACAGCAGAAACCCTCTGCTCAGCTGCTACCGTACATGTGGCAGGGGAATACTGCGCCGAGCTGTGATTAGGAAATTATACTTGAGCAATCTGTTATTAGGTTGTGAAACACCCGTCACCGCTGGTTAACATTTTGTCATTTTTTTTTCTCTTTGTCAAACTGGAGAAATGATCGCCACGGTAACAAGTGCAGAAACAGCAGCCCTTTGAGGATTTCTTTTTTGTAATATAGTTCAGTATGTGTGCTAAAGAGGACGTCTGATTATGACCAGACAAATGGAAACACAACGATCTGACACAAATATATTGGACTTTTCATGTTGCACCTACACGAACATTTTTTTCCACATTTGATGTTTATTTGAAAGTTGCATCACTGCGATTCAAAGCCCATTTCAGAGGACAGGAGGGAGAAGTTTAACGACCAGTTTTACAAGCTGCTGCAAATGTTAACAATTTTGGACTCACGAGGCCAAACATTTCCATTGTGGAAATGGCAGCTAGACAAACTTGCACAGGAATTAGAGTGAAATATTACAGTTACTTTATGATTTTATTATTCACTTTAACACTCCTGTAAGTCTGGAACAGCACCACATGGTGCCATCGCCTGCAGAACTTTGGAGGACAAATCTGAAGTAAAACCCCCAAAAAAGTCTGAAAGCACAACCGGTCCGCGCAATAAAAGGAAGAGGCACGACGACAGAGGTATGACATTCTTTCCATGTTAGAGTCCGTCTGTGAAGTGAGCGTGTAACAAATAGCACCGAGGTTTGAACTGTGCGAGTCTGGCAGATGCCCAGCAGGCTGAAGGAATCTGCATGCTGCACTGCATGAGATACCAAATCCTCACACCCCTCACTGACACCGCGACAAAATCAGATCGCCAGCTGACTAGAAAGGGGAAGGCACATCAAACATGAGTCATTTTACTCTAAATTAATCACAATCCTGCTAGAGTTTCTGTATAAAATAGAGCTTTTAAAGACACATTCCCTGGCAGAAACTTGAGAGTCCCCCTCACTGTAGCATCTACTCTGACCTCCACGTTATTGCTTTACTTCCTTTTTATCCCTTAATGTGATTTAAGCCGTTGCACCCCTTTTTCCAAACCGTGTTTACCCCCCGTAGCCAACAAAAAGCCAGAATAATACACGGCCTTAATTGTAATCTACGAATCCAAAGAGACCAGAATGCATTGCTGCTGCCCGTGTTGGGCTCTCAGACAGAGAGGGGGCATGACTGGAATGAAAAGGGACAAATGGCGTCAAGCATTTGTTGCAGTGTAAATAAATTATCGCAGGATCGTGGTTAGTTTTGATGCATTCGGTGTAGCAGAGAAAACTCGTGTGCTCAAAGCATGTGTGCTCAGGGGCGAATAGTTTGACCATAAAAGGCAAACAGATAAATCTACAAGGCCTGAGCTCTTAAAAGCTTTTTTTTTTTTTTTTTTAAAAGTTGACATCAGTGATCTGCATTAAATAAAGCACACTTTAGTTACATCATCCTTGAATAGAGGGTGCTAACAGCAGCTGGCAGTTTAAAATATCACCTGGGACTGTTCACATGCAGGAAAGCAAAATTGTCAAAATCATACTTACGCTCATCATTTTTGCAGATGCAGTCGGTCAGGTCCAGATAGGAAGAAGTGATCGAGCTGCAGGGCCTCGCCTCTCTGCACCCTGGCAGCAGGATATATGCAGAGCGGGCGGTTCCTTCGACCCGAGTGGCGTCTCCAACAGCCAATAAGATCCTCCCGTTCCTGAGCGACTGATTAAAAGTGAAGTTACACACCATAAATAGCTAATTTAATGCTTAACACTCAATTGCAGATCTTGGTAAAGTGAGAATAATTAGCGACGGACGGTTTGTTAACATCGGACTGTGGGTGCTACACTGGAGTCTGACTGTGAGGAGGGAACCCGGACTGGGAGACGAAAATAGAAATGTATTTGTTGCCAGGGAGACAGCTAAATATTTAGCTCAGCCAGCAGCCCTAATGGCCCCTTTACTGTATATAGCTTGTAACATACAGGAAGATCAGATGGCAGCGTTTGAGATCAATCCGGCTGCCAAGGAAACTAAACTTTGGCTACGAGAGAAATAAGTCAAAGTGAAACGTTGAAACTGACTCACATCCTCCAAATGATTTGAATTTCTGACTCACGGCCAGCGATGGGCCTCACTTTCAGCTGCTGATACTCAAACAGGGAATGAGACGCACACTGGCCCTGCAGCACATTAAAAACTAATGTAATCTGAATTGCATTTAAATCACAACTTTCAAGGGTTTGTATATATATTTTATACTTTTTCAACCTTTTTTTTCTGCTCTCATGTGATGAAATGATTGGGTGAGATGTCTCCTGGGCGTGGCACTGCATGAGTAAAATCTGTCATATAATGATTCAATTTTAATACTATCCTTTCTATCTATAGGTGATCATGTTACCTCAAGACATAAAATGGCTCAAATCATCGTGTTAAGTCTGAGAAAGAGCAACCGAGTAGACTTTGAGTTGACTTTATTTTACAGATTTCAAAGTGAAAACCACTTCCCCGCCTGAACGTTTAAGAGTTAACGCACGCCTAATTTGTAAATTAATAATTAAACGCTTCACTTTTAAGTAAAAGAGAAAAGACAAAAATGCCTGCAGGCGTGCATAAGTAAAAAAAAATTAAAAAGTTTTCATACCTACGTTGTGTTTGGTCTACAGATCTGGTTTTAGCTGGAATGGTACAGCATTTATGAAGAAGTTTCATAAGTACTATCCGGTTCTTTTTCAGAATTCCTGGTTTAACGGCAGCGGGGCAGACGCTGGTCAAAGATGCTTCTCTTACTGGACTGACTTTTAAGATGCTATCCGTGTGAAATGATTTATCGTTGGAGCCAAAACGTCTGAGATTTGATCTTCAGATGCTTCACGGATATTTTTGTTTGAATTTTTTCATGTTGTATTCATATTTTAAACTTTATATGTTTGATTTCTGTCTTAGAATATAAGGTTTTGTTGCTCATGTTTGTGTGATTGTCCATAACAGAAGTCCTTGAAGACTGTTTCGTTCATTGTAAATAAATAAGAACTAATCACTGAAAGCTATTTTGCATGAGCTTACATTATGCTCAGTGGCATACGAGCAAAACCATGCGAGTGTAGATCCGTGGAACTTAGTTCAGCTGTTCTTTTTGACTCACAAACACTGTGTGGTTTGTTCTTATCTGGAACAGCTGGCATCTATCAGCGACCCACTGAATTGTCCGAGCAACGGCTTAAAACTGCATTAGCTTCCCGGGGCGCATTCCTCATCACATAATCCACTAAAAGTAATTTAATTTAAAGGTGCTTGATGCATCTAGGAAGCTTCATACTGTATATTACTGTGGCATTTGTGGCAAATGTGGTTCTTGCATCAGAAGTTCATCGTAGCACAGAGAGCGATACGGTTCCTGTTGCCCAAAGACTCAGTCTCAAGACAGTCAGCAGGTCTAATGACACAGAGAGCTTTTGCATAAACAGAGGAAAACACTCACATATCTCCATGGTAATCATAGGCTACAGATATTATAATATTTCATTACACTGGCTATAATTATCAGCATATAAATGATGATCATTGTCATGCTGCACTTATATTAGTAATCGTTTGATTATCAAGCAACATGAACCGAGCAGTAAAACCACATTTATGAATGTTTCTATCTCTAGACACATAGTTAAACATGTTTAAGAGCTTTTACTATAAGTGCTTGATAGGAATTATTAGCCGTACTTCCTGCTTAGACTCTGAGTGAAGTTGATCTGAGTGTTCACTGCCCTGCTGTGGTCACTGTCTGCTACTACAGCATGACGTTAACTTGATTAAATTAAATATATAAGCAGCTTTGGACACAATTATTAAACCACCTGTTGTTCTCTTTCCAAACAACAGTCATAATTGTATCATAGTGGTGAAATAACATCTTCTAAAGGACATGAAAAAGTCTAATAACTCAGTAAATACAGTCAATGATTAGAAAATATGATATATTGGGGCTAAAAGGCTGCCGTAGACACTGTTAAAGACATCGCAGGTGTGTTTTAATGTCTGAAAAGCAGCCTTAGAGGTGAACTCACACTCCTGTAGTATCATGAACCAGTGTTTTATTATCATCATAGAGCAGGAATGTCAAACTCACCTTTGTCACGAGCCACATAAGCATTATGGTTGTGACCGTAAGACTGTATAAATGTGACATACTGTTAAATAACTGTCTCTGCATTTGATTATTATCATTGTTGTTATGTACAAATATTGTGCTTACCTTTACATAAAAGTAGAATATATGTAGGCACACTGCTTTGTTATTATCACATAAATTCTAACATTATATTGCATTAATTTATCAGATTAGGAAACACACATCTGTCATGGGGCTTGACACAAGTGTTATTTCAATCTTCTGAGGACACCAGCAAGGTAACCCTGTATTTTCTGTCTTTAACAGCTCAGAGATTTTCTTAATATGCATTAAGAAAGTGTAAAAACGGAGGAAAAAAATCTAAAAGTTTTGTTATGAGCGTTTATCATTTGTTGTTTTTTTCTTGTACAGGTCACACAGAACATTTTCTGTCCAATTTAATCAGCCTGTAAAGTCAGATCAATCACTGAAAATTAAATCAGTCAGAAATCCATGTTATTATAACACTCTGTCAGAATATATTTATTTTTTTCTTAAGTTATTACTCATTATTGATATGATTTAACATGTGTTGCACGGACAGGACAGGAGGAAAAGTTACAGGAATGTATGAAACTTGATGATATAATTAGATAAAGAGATCTGTACATGTTTTGAGTTGCTGTTACATCAGTATTTCAGCAGTTGCACTGTGATTACAGCAGATTGTGTGTGAGGGTTTGGTCCAACCTGTAATCATATGAACGACCCCCTCCCTGCTATTGGTCCGCTGCTCACATCCCCACAGCGGCTTCAACTCTATTGGTGAGCGGCGGGGAAAAACACACGCTCACCGACGCCTCCTGGTTAATATTGATGAGGACATTCTTATTGTTAAATATCTCTAAATGCGGCACAGTGCATGATAAACCAACATCATGTTATAGTAATGCCAGTTAAAGTGGGCTTTTACCTGTAGGTTAGCTTTGCTGCGGCTAATGCTGGCTAGCTCCCGTTAGCCTGGTAGCGTCTTGTGTCCTGGTTCGCTGTTCGGCTCCAGCCGTCATCACAACAACCCGGACAGCCTGCGAATTTATCACCGCGGAGTTGGCATCGAAATGGCATCGATAGCGGCGCCTCATGAGCCAGGCATCAGCCCGGGCTCCGTGCAGCTCGCCGACGCTTTAGTGCCCGCCAGCATATTCGCTCCGGACCGGGGAGGATGCGGCGACGACACCGGCGACGAGTGCTTCGACGACGGGGACGTGCTCAACGGCGAGCCCGAGGACCGCGGCATCGACTTCACTAGCAAGGTACCGCTAGGCCCTCCCGCTAACGTTAGCATGCTAGCCGCTGCTGGGAATGAATGAATGAATGAAGAAAATAATAATAATGCGTTTATTGCATGTAAACGTGTAATTACAATACATGGCGTATTGTACCACAATGTACCTACCATATGTTTAAATAAATATTAAATATTACTGACTTCTTTGAGTCGGGGCTGCTTTTGCTGACGTTAAATAAAATAGCTAGCTGCGGCTAACGTTAGCTGCTTAGCTCTAGCTGATGCTAACATTAGTTTCACATCCAAACACACTGCAGCATCTATAAGCATATCTGAATTCAATACCACTGATTGAAGCAAGGCCAAGCAACATAACCCTTGCTGTCAAACCAAAAATATTGGCTTGACACAGCCAGTTAAGCCCAATTCACTAACACACAGACTGTTAAAAAAACAACAACAACACAACAAGATAACGTGTTCAGGTCATCCTGCTGCACCAACACCAGCAGATATCTGACTGTCTGCTTAAATGGAGCTGCAGGCCTGTTTTGATCAACTGAAAGCAGCTGTTGAGTACTGAAACTGGTCGGATGAGTAAGTGTTTACCATGTTGTCATCCTGGATGTTTAAATGCAAGAGTGAATGCAATAAAGTTGGTGCATGTCAGGGTCGAGTGACACATTACAGTGTAATTATAGGTCACACAAACAGATTGCACCAGTGTTGCATCAGGGAGGCAGTCCCTTGTTGACTTTGGCTCTTGATGGTGTCATCAGGCTGTCAGCTTCTGATCTTATCTGACGTTATCAATGAACTCATACTTCGATGAGCTCCTGTAGACGATGATGCGCTTCTGGAGCTCCACCAGTTTATTCACACATTTTTAAAAAAAGTTTCCATGTTCTGTCGTAGTAGTAGCACCTTCATAATCAGGTTTTCAAGAGACACGCCTGTACTGTTTATCTTGACAGTGGAAAAAGAAAGTCATTATCTTCACTGTGACCCAAAACGAAACTCAAACCACATTCCCACAATAGCAAGGTTCATTTGTTCCATCTGAGAGCCAAAGTCACTTTAATTCATTCTTTTTGGGGGGATAATTACTTCAAAAAACAAAAAAAACAATGCTTCCACTGTTGTGCTGACAGCAAGTCTTAATTTATTTGTGTTACTTGCTTATTCTTAGCAAACACCCCAAACCAGTTTTGACCGCGGCATAATGGAGCTCTGTGAGTCCGTATCAGCAGGGATCACGGTGCTGCTCATGTGTAACCTTGAGGTGTTTCATGGGAAGGAAGACAGCTGTGTTTGCATGTGAATAGCAGCTTTTGAACTTCCCTTCAGGTTTTTTTTCTTTACCTTTTCACCTGGCTTGCATTCTGAATGTGCAAGCTGAATAAAATGAGAATAAAACTCTGTAGTACAGTCAGAGTCGTGCTCTTGAAAGCAGCCACACCTGATGCAATCCCACCTCAACTTCTCAACGAGGACCGACTGTCGCAGCTTTTTCGGTGGAGGGTTTTCTTTGATTAAACCTAGAATCCCAGAGCAACCATGACTGCAACAATGGTCGATGTTCTCTTTATATTTTCTCTTTTTTCCTCACCGGAACCCAACAGCTGGCACTTGTTAGCCCGAACGGAGAGCAGTATGACTCGTTACTTCGGCAGCTACGGGACAGGATGGAGGAGGGATGTGGAGAGACCATCTATGTGGTTGGGATGGGCTCAGGTGAGAAAATTACAGAGATGCAGTAGTTTATAGATGAAAGTCTCTCTCTCTTTTTTTTTTGTTTAAACCTTTCTCACCTATTTTTTAGTCTCTCGATTAGTTGTGAAATATTAAACTAAGAAAAAACATCCACATTCTCAGATTCCAGCCTCTTAAAGTTGTATATTTTCATTTTTTTAAATCCTCTGTGACATTATAATAGAAATATCTTTTCGTTGTAGACAAAACAAGGCATTCAAGAATGTTGTCTTGGGCTTTGGGAAACACTTTTCACACTTTTTCTGACATTTTGGAAACCAAACAAGTCATCAAATAGTCGAGACAGTGTAAAGATAACAAATGAAGTCCATTGGTTTCTCACTGGGGAAATTTAAATTTCACAGCAGCTTGTAGTAGCAGGACAAGAATTACAAAAGCACAACAAGGCTAAAACAAAAATTTATTAAAGACAAGTGCCACATCAGTTTATAACAAATCCCCCGTTGTTGTCCTCTGTAGATGGTGGCGACTGGGGTCTGGATGAGAAAGACATGGAGGCTTCGGTCGCCACCGTTCGCTCCATGTGTGAGCAACTGGACGCCGACCTGATCACGCTGCGAGAGCGCAACGAGGCCGCCGGTTTGGTGCGTGACTATCTGATCCGGAGGCGTGTGGGTGAGCTGGACTTCCTGGAGGTCAGGTGAGCTGTCATGGGGTCACGGTTGCTGTCCGTTAGCAATGCCAGAGGTTTCCTCTGGGTTTCTGAAATGCCTGGGCGCTGTGTGTTTAGAAGGGAAGGTCATTTCTACAGTAAAGAAAGGGGCTTATAAGGGTTGGACAGACTGTAAAACCTGTTAAACCAGTTGTAAAACCAGTTAAGGTGCTCTTAAGAAGGTTTTTCCATCGTTCTTCCATCTCCATCACTGGGCAAAGTAACACTTCAATAACGACATCGTGTTTTATGCCTAATTAAAACAATTAAAGGCCTTTAAACGCTGACCATCATTGGCTACTGAAAGCCACGCCTTCTTGCTACACTTTAGATGACATTTCGCTCCTCCTGTGTCCCTCAGGGTTGCGGTAGTCGGGAACGTGGATGCCGGTAAGAGCACCCTGCTGGGAGTGTTGACACACGGCGAGCTGGACAACGGCAGAGGCTTCGCTCGCCAGAAACTTTTCAGACACAAGCATGAGATGGAGAGCGGCAGGACCAGCAGCGTGGGCAACGACATCCTGGGCTTTGACCAGGAGGGGCAGGTGAGGTCTAGCGGCTGCAGTCAGTCGTAAAGAAGCGTAATTCTTAAAGCTCAGTGAGGGTTTGTGCGATTAGTTTTTGTGCTATAGTATGAGGTACTGAACTGTGAAGCAGGTGCAGCTCTTAAGAGAGAGAAATTTAATTGCAATATAGAGGATAGATCAGAAAAATCCTCTTCAATGTACTGGAGGAAAAGCTCAAGGTTTGGAAGGCTGTACTTTTAGTGTATAATAGATGTAAAATATCTCCTATGTGAAGTGAATATGGTTCTTGTACTTAAATGTTCTCTCGGTAGAACGTGTGGCTGCTGTGTGTGCGTATTGTTCATGGTACCTGCCTGTCTCCAGGTGGTGAACAAACCAGACAGCCACGGAGGAAGCCTGGACTGGACCAAAATCTGCGAGAAGTCCTCCAAAGTCATCACCTTCATAGACTTGGCCGGCCATGAGAAATACCTGAAGACCACCGTGTTTGGGATGACGGGACACCTTCCAGACTTCTGCATGCTCATGGTCAGTGAGCGGGAAAAGGAAGGGACAAGAGATGATGTACAAGCGGACATATAAATCCTGATTGGGTGCCACATGTAAAAGAAATCCGGATCTATCAGTGCTGTCATGATATCTGCCTGAATATATTAAAACAATAACCACAACAAAAACCTTAAACATCAGGCAGCATAATGGAATAATATACGGCAACATGGAACTTAAAATAGGTTGTCTTTCTTATGAATTAAAAAACAAAAAAGAACAAACAAACAACACAGCAGCAGTTGTGAAATGAAGCCATAAAACAGCAGGAGGGAATTGTTGTCCTATGGTGTGATCGTACATTTTAATATCTATGAGGACTTGAGGAAACCATCGTTAAAATCAGCTTCTCACATGCTCACACCCCTCCACTGTAACACATCACACTGCTGCTTGTCAAAGTGTGTGTGAGCTGTACTTTAGTGCACATTTCAGTCACCCACTTTTTCTGCAGGAATTTAATTAACCATTTGTAACTGGTGTCATTGAGCTTCAAACGCCTGATTATTAGCTGCTTACAAGCTACGATGAAGTACGTTTCACTGATGTGAACGCTGAATTTCCATACAGAGATATTGATGAGTCGACAGTTATTATTGACAAGTTTGTTTGTCAATAATAAAGCCGCTCGTTTGATTTATATGGAGGGCCTGGAGGTGATTTAATCCGTCATATTGACTAACCCGTTACTTTATATTCTTTGAACAAGTCAGCATTTGGTGAAACATCAGTTCCAGGCAGGTTTACGGTGTCCGTTGACCCGCCCTGATTGTGGGCTGTAGGAGAAATAATGCCACATTTTGATTTGTGAGTCGTCAGCATGCTGACCGAGCTTCTCGTTTTATCATCATGAGAGCTGCAGCTGCTTATCAGAGAAGGAGAAAAGCGGTTGGCACACCCACTACTCCTGCAGAGAGTGAAGCAGAGTGCTGCACACAGTCCTGCTGCTGCTGAAGCTGTCATTCTGTCAGTGCAGCTGCTAATGAGAAGGGGAGAAGTGTTGTTTTAAGGTGTACAGCGCAGCGCTAAAGCTGAATACTTAAAGTTACTCATTTTACTGCCTATCAGAACGTGAAACAAGGACGATATGCATTGTATTCCATGAATGTAGAGGAATCACGTGTTCTCTTCCCTTCCTCTCCAGGTGGGCAGTAACGCAGGTATCGTAGGGATGACCAAAGAGCACCTGGGCCTGGCTTTAGCTCTCAATGTGCCTGTGTTTGTCGTGGTAACCAAGATCGACATGTGTCCAGCCAACATCCTGCAAGGTCAGTCCCCTGAAGCTCTCTGTTCTGTTCTATACGGTGAACCTCGTGTTGATATGTTGGCTAATATGCAGTTTTTTAATGTTTGCTTTCCTCTACCAGAGACCCTGAAGCTGCTCCAGAGGTTACTGAAGTCGCCGGGCTGCAGGAAGATTCCCGTTCTGGTGCAGAACAAGGACGACGTCATAGTCACGGCTTCGAACTTCAGCTCAGAGAGGTGCTAGGTCTGCTCCAGCCAGATTTACAGACAGAGTGGAAGTGCATCCTTGTAACCTGGGTGTTGTGTCCCTCCAGGATGTGCCCCATCTTTCAAATCTCCAACGTGACTGGAGAGAACATGGACCTGCTGAAGATGTTCCTCAACCTGCTGTCCTCCAGGACATCCTACCGCGACGACCAGCCCGCCGAGTTTCAGATAGACGACACCTACTCTGTGCCGGTACTTAATGGAAAAGCTCCCGTCTCTAAATGTGTTTTACTGTGTGAACTAAATACAAACCTTAACGCCTGTTTGTGCCCCAGGGGGTGGGAACTGTAGTGTCAGGAACTACTTTACGTGGACTCATACGTCTGAACGACACCATGCTGCTGGGGCCGGACCCTCTCGGGAGCTTCATCCCCATCGCTGTCAAATCAATCCACCGCAAGAGAATGCCTGTGAAGGAAGTTAGAGGAGGTCAGACTGCGTCGTTTGCTCTCAAAAAGGTAGGAGGGAGTTCTGCAGTAGCACCTAGTGGAGATGTCTGGGATTGCATTTAGAGCAGCTGCTCATTGGGTGAAAACCACATTGTGTTGTTTTTAGGGGAGGTTCTGTATCAGCAGCAAGGCTTTAACAATGAACTTGAGAACTGATTCCTCCTACCTCTGTGTCTCTTCTGTTTTTTTTGCTCCTCCTAGATCAAGCGATCGTCCATAAGGAAAGGCATGGTGATGGTGTCCCCGAGGTTAAGCCCGCAGGCGACCTGGGAGTTTGAGGCCGAGATCCTGGTGCTGCATCATCCCACCACGATATCCCCCAGATACCAGGCCATGGGTGGGTAACAGAGGCAGATACATGTGCAGAAAGAACAAGCTCGAGGTGTTTCTGTTGCAGCTTTATGGTGAAGACCAGACATTTGAGTGTCTGGAAGTTCTGTAGATGTTACTCGGATAATGTGCAATTTCTACACAATCACTGATAGAAGTACAGCAGAGCCTCACCCAGTCACGCAGTAATTAACTGTGCATATTTCAGTTTCTCATTTTTCCAATTTTTCCCTCCCTCCCCCCCCCGCTCAGTCCACTGTGGCAGCATCAGGCAGACGGCCACCATCCTGTCCATGAACAGAGACTGCTTACGGACAGGAGACAAGGCTTCGGTCCATTTCCGCTTCATCAAGACGCCCGAGTACCTGCACTGCGACCAGAGGCTGGTGTTCAGAGAGGGGCGCACCAAGGCTGTGGGGACCATCACTAAGGTAGCTGGACCAAGTTTACACTGAGATGTTCGCACAATGAAATGACACATCCTGTTCAGAGATGTTCTCCTGCCAGGTTGCCCAGCTCTCATCGCTAAAAAATAGTCTCTGGACAGTTTCTACGTAGGGAAAGTATAAGAGAAAACTAAGAAGGCTTCTTATAATATTTATCAAGAATACCAGCTGTTACAGAATGCTATAGGTTAAAAGTCATAATAGTTGGGCATTTAATAGGAGTAGAATATTTGTAAAAAAAAAAAAACAATCCTGGGTAAACATCAGCAGAAAAGAATTAAAATGAATCATATGCCTTCCTGATTTTTTCCACCTTTCTATATACACATTTCTTTTACAGCTTTTTTGTGCAGATAGGAGCTCAAATGTAGCATTTCAGACAGTGTGTGAAAAGATCAATGTACAGAAAAATATTTAGTATTTTTAACCCCTTTAAACCTGCAAATGTGCCTTATTAGGGCTCTTTATTAAAGAATTCCTGATGTTCGTGAGACTTTAACTCCAGACATGACTTCAGACTGAGATGTAGAACTTCTTGTATTATTTCACAACTAGCTCCTTTTTTTTTTTCTCCAGCTGTTGCAATCCACCAATAACATGCCATCAAACTCCAAACCTCCACAAATCAAAATGCAGTCTACAAAAAAGGCACCGCTCCGAAAAGAGGACGGCACCGTGGCAGCCGGCGACGACGCGGCGACGATAGCACAGCCAGCGGGCCCCAACACGACACAGCCGGTGAGTCACCAGTCGACAAATAAAGCCGAAAACATACGGCGTTGTGCAAATTGTGCGTGGTTGTGCTCTTCCTGTGTTTCTCTGGATTTCCTGCCTCTTGCTGGGTACTTGCACTAACGCTGCTTTTCCTTTCTAACTCTGACTTCTTTCATCTAACTTGCGCATCACTCCTTTGCACTCTCGCCCTCTCTTCTGCTTGCCTCTGAAGGGAGAGGGAGATGATGACCCTCAAATAAAGGAGGGCAACAAAGAGAACAAGGTAAACCGTGTTGAGAGTTGCGAGGATGGCGTTTGATGAAGCGAGCTTGTGGTGCCTCGTTTTTTTGAGAAGCGTGTTTCTGAGCAGGCGAGGCCTCATCGAGTCTTTTCTCTCCTCTTGCAGCCAAAGTCCGGGGGTGGTGGACGGAGACGGGGCGGCCAGAGGCACAAAGGAAAAGGCCAGAACAGCAGCACCAACTCGACAGCGGCGCCGTCCTCGTCGGGGATAGGAAACTGCTGAATCGCCCTCTCGTCCCGCCTCCCCGCCCCGCCCAGTGCAGACCTCCCTTCTCGATCACTCCACCAAGTGTCTTCATTCCACAAACCATTAAGGATACACGTGTTCGGAGCGAGACACACTCCTCAGTCTTACTACTCCTTGCCTTTTTACACCAGGTCATATAGTTTTTATTTTTTAAAAAAAGGGAACACAACAGGGGGGTATGCGTCACACCAAAAGCATACACCTTTTTATGCATTTTATCGTCAGCTGCCTTTACTACTCCCGAGTGGTTCTGGGTGACAGAAAGCAGTGTGGGCTTTTGAGGTTAGCCTCACTCAGGATGTTGATTTTATTTAATTTTGTCTCTCCAGCTCAGGGGAGGGAAGGCAAGACAAAAAGGGGTCCAATACCAATACGAGCAGCTATCAAGTGAAACTCCCCCCCACGCATTCCCTGTGTATTTGCAATGATAAGACAGTTGTACTATTTATACCGCATATGTAAATTAGCTGTTAGTCGTACCGATTGGAAAGATGCCGTTGTACAAAAAAAATGTATGCAAATCACAAATGAATGTAGCAGAGGGCACATTTAAAATTCTAGATATATGGAAAATGTATAAAAAGAAAAAAAAAAGGTGTTGCATTTTATAATTGTCAGTTATTTATTTGGCATACATGCATAACATTTACTCCTGGATGGTGGGAATCTCTCCACCTACTCTCTCACTCGCGCTCTTAGATTCAGCAGTATCCGTCACGCTTCCATCGTCAGTCCATGTACAAACCGTATAGTACAAACACAGCACACACACACACACACACACACACGTCGTCACTCCAGCAGCTGCTAATGATTATAAGACATGCCGTACTACTTGTAACTCTAGTACTTCATGCGTTATGGCCTGTCGCTGTTACCATGTTGTGACATTTTAAAACACTTTGCCACAAAATAATAATAATAATAAAAAAAAAAAACAACCCCAGACCATGAATAAACACACTTTACTGAACTTTTCAACAGTGCTGCTTATTTATGTGCATTTTTCCTCTTAATCTCACTACATGTGACGCGAGTGAAAACACATTTGGAATGATTCGACAGCAGGAGGGACGGGTTCAGCGTGTTGTCAGTTTATATACAGGAGAGTGCTGAGGTTTCATCAGTAGTGTCATACGTCACAGGTGGGAAGTCGTCTCTGAGCAGACACCAGAAGCTTCAAGTTTGATAGAACAGCTACAGTCAAGGAAACCCAGAAACCGAGTTGGTTTTGTTTTCTGCACACAGGAGAATTACACATACTAGTGGAAGTAAAAAACAAACCTTAACTGAAATTACAGTTAAAGATGGAATCAGCTTGGCAGGAGTAACAACCGAAACAACAACAGCGCTGTCCGAAAAACAAAATGTCCTAAAAAATATAACAAGCAAACATCATTTCTTGTTGAGGAATATCAATATAATATAAAGTCGTCCTCAGATGTATTCACAACCTCCCATTAAAGACTGGAAAACATCACTGAAATAAGCTGAAATTGACAAAAGTAATAATAAATAAAAATTTAATGAACACCATGACGTTGCTTTGGAATTGTGGTTCAACAGAAATATTAAAAAAAAAATAAGCAAACAAGCATGATGGGAGCCATAAACTAACATGTAGCTGAACAACCCTCTGAGCCAATCACTGCCATCATCAGGTGTTTCCTGTAACTCTCAGTCAGACTTGTGCACCTGTTGACAGGTATTCTGGACCACTGCTCATCAGCAAAGTGCTACAATTAGACAGTTTTGTTTTTTTAAATTATCCCTTTCAACCACAATTCAAAAGCAACGTCTTATTTCACTAAATTATAATTTAGCAAATTTTTATTTATTATTACTTTTTTCAGTTTCTAGTTATTTGAGTGACTGTTGTGAGTTTTTCTTTAATGGAAGGTTGTGAATACGTTTGAGGACGACTGTAGCTTCTGTTTTCGTATGTAAATGCACTTTGAAGTCTGCTTTAACCTGCGACGGGACATTTAGTGAAAACAAACTAATGTGTTTATATACAAAAAGAACCAAAACATTACAAGTTATAGATTATATATATATATATATATTTTGTAACATGTATTTATGTAACACAAATCATCTGCTTCATGTACATCATATCTTACAAGTGCAGGCTGTTGGCTACCACTGTGTCGGGGTAGCACACTTACTCCATCGCAACCTGAAAAAGGCTTTACTCGGCATGTGCAACGTGAGTGTTTCATGAAATAAGATTATGGAGTTCAGGATGTTGAGGTAAGCACCATTCCTCTCAAAAATAGTGTGGAACTTTACAGCTTCATGTGCAGGAATGTTCTATTTTTTTGGTCTTTAAATTTGGGGACTTTACAGAAACGTCTCCCGGGACTCTGAATACCCAAGAAGGAATACTTACAGTTTGGACACAACTTGTACAGGTACAGACTATTCTGTACTACAGGAGTGCTTCACATGTCGTTTATTGAACCTTGTAGTGAAACTCCGACACTAGTATGCACAAAAAAAATAAAGTATGCACTACAATGTACACATGCTTCAGCACACACAAGCCAGTTGCACTTCATGATGGGTTTCAGTCATTACTTTTGGGTGTTACCATTCTCCAAAGATGACAGTCCTTTAGCCGACGTAACAAAAAGGTGAGGAAACATCAAATCTACAGGAACACTGGGGAGGATTCTAGCCGTCTATGTCCCAGCTGAAGAGGTGATGTTTCACCAGCATGTCCTGCACTCCTTCTTTGAGCGGCTTCTGCTCCTTCTCCTGGGAAACGGATGAAACGTGGAAAGGCTTTTACTTAAAGGCAAAAATCAATAGTGCATTACACAGAGCAGCTCCGCCGCACGGTTTTAACCTTCTGACCAAACGCCAATGAGACATTTCTGAAAAAGGAGGGACTTTTTCTGACGATGCAAGAAAATGCTTTGACATCTGGAGTCTGGCCAGAGGTTTTTAGTTTTCTGTCATGTGGTAACTAATGATGTGCACTGGACTCGTTACAGCAGAAAAAGCACAGGCATTATCAGGGATTTTCTCTATTCTAGCGAAGACAGGAGCAGCTACAGGGATTTAACCATCACGTCAACGTGTATTAAAGACCTACAGGAAGCAGGGCGATCCTACCAGCTTTTCCTTTTAAAACTCAATCCAAACAGGAAGCGTGCAACAAGGTAACTAAATCTGAACAGCGAAGGCGTCTAACTCGTGACTACAGTGCCGACGGTCTCGTCACGTTACCTAGATGTCCCAACTAAAGAGGTGATGCTGAACCAGCACATCCATAACTTCCGCTTTCTGAATAGGAGATTTCTGAAACGGCATAAAGTCATAAAGTTGTTCTCTCCTGAGTTCTAACATGTTGTTTTCGATTAGTCACACTTGATCTCCTCGGCTCACCTCTTTCTTGTCGGGTAGCTCGCAATCTTGGGAGAGACTGAAGGCAAACTTTGATAGGACCCTGAGAAGACAGAAAGCAGTGGTTATTGTTAGTTTTATTGGCCTGATTGTGTGTCCTCATTAACACACAACTTGCCTTTTTGTTTATTTTTTGTTCTTTATGGCTCTTTGACACATTCTTTGATATTTTCACTGCTGAATTCTGGATGGTAAATGTGGAAAATAGTGGTTGAAAGCAGTTTAACCTCCTTAATTTGTAAGGTGGGTTTTCTTACCTGAGCTCACACTTGATCTGCACCCATCCAGGACTACGGAGGAACGACCACGGGTGATACCATTTCTCCACGGCAGCCATGCTGGAGCACAACACCTCCAACCACAGGTGCAGCACCTGTTCACTGGAGAGACGGGCATGTTAGGAAACAGGCCTGACAAAGCGAGCGCGTTTACTCGCAGAACTGAACGGTCTGATCACTTGAAGAAAACTTACTTGAGGCCGACGCAGACGAGCGATCTGAATTTGACGTCCATCTGAGCGTGTGCCGAGTCGTGGCTCATGTTGACCGACTGCACCGCCTGGGAAGAGCCAACAGAGGGCGCTCGTGGGTTTCCTACTTTTGTTCATTGCTTCAGGCTCAAGGTAATCCAGGCCTCATTAAAGTGACAAGACTGGTATACTTATGACTGGAGGTCATAAATAACTGAGAACATCGTAGGCTGCAGGTCAGGCTGGAAGCCATAGTGCCAAATTTGGACTTATTGCTTTGATGTATGTATTTTGTTTGGTTGTTGGCATCATATCTTATAATGTGGCCGCCATCAGACTCCAGTGTGAACTGGTCATTGCACAAAACAACAAGAACAAAGATGTCACATGAAACTTGTGAACACATTAAGTCAGCTGATGTGCAGTGGAAGCCGGCGAATTTGTGAGTGACATTTGTAATTATGGCTTCTTTTTTTTTTGGTCTGGAAAGGACTTCACTCAAACAGATTTTGGCTAAAATATCAGGATGTCAGAGATTACTTTTAATGGAAAACAGTTTATAGTACAGTAAGAGTTTTCAAGTAGTGACTAATCGTTAGATTTTTGTTCTAAGTCACTCTTTGTGCTTTAGGAATTAAAAGCTAACAGAATTTATCCAAGTCGATCGGAAACATCTCCGACTTTTGGCATCGGTGTCCCATCATTCCCCAAGAATCATCCAGATGAAGTTTGATGCTGCCACGGCAATTTGCTGATGAAAGTAATCTTGTGTCTGTCAACAACTCTCCACAAAACTCTCCTGGTAAAACACTGAGTTCAGATATTCAGATTACACTGCAAAGAAAAATCATAGCTGTATCTGATTTTAGTAGCTCATTTTGAAGTGTTCACACTGGTATATAAAAAACAGATCTGTGTCACATGTGAGCAACAAGTAAATGTATTTTTCAAAACATTTGGGCCATTTTGCCTGAAGTCTGAACGTAACCTTCAGATTCATTCCTACATTTATGAGAGCTAAAATGACTTTTTCCCCCCAAACAAGTAGATTAAATGTGTACTCACTCTGTATAGCAGCTCCTCTGGTGTTAGAACTTTCCCATCTTCATCCAACCTGTTAAATACCAAAGATAATGAGCTGCTACTTATGACAGTGTACTGCTAGAAACTCTCTCATAAATGCAGACAACAATGAGATCCTTATTTATTTTCCTAGCGGGAGGTAAACATCTCATCTTGGTTTCCATCCATTGCAAATCGAGCACATTAAATTCTTGACTGAGCAGAAATTTAGACAAAACAAAAAAACCCCACAAAGACACTGTGTGCGTTTGTACCTGTAGGTTTTACACAGCACCAGTCTCGAGTAGACCGAGTTGAAGTCCCTCTCGACCTCCCTACTGGCTGCCTGAAAGGGAAGCAGAAAGAGAATGATGTTGGAAATTGATGCGAACTGTGTGAACCGCGGTGCCATGATGAATTATAACAAGCTCTCCCACCTCCTCGATGAATAGCCACGGGTGACAGGGCCCTCCCAGTATAGACGGCTTCTTGAGACCGTGCTGAAAGATGGCTTTCAGAGCTGGACACAAAGTGCCTCTGGCCAGATCCGTCACCGCCTCTGTCACGGAGTCATCACCTGCTAGTGAGTACTGGGGACAGACACGACAGCCGGTGTTGAATTAATGCTCAAGGCTTACAAATAATACATGACACAGCAAGAAACATTTGCTGCGCGACTCAGACGATTTAAAAATGTAAATGCGTCGGCACCTCTTTGCTTCTTTCGTCTAGAATCTCCACGAACTTTGCTGGAAACCAACCTGTCACAAACAGAAAATGCATCTTGTGAAACAAACGATAAAACAAATAACTGATCCAAACAGCAGCAACTGAGAGCACACACCTCTGAGGCCGTTGAGCTCACCGACCCAGCAGTGCTCATCTTTTTGTGAGATGATCTGAGGAGAAAGATAAAAATGAGTGAAGGTGACATGTGGGTGTAAACGATGAGACGCGTTCTGTTTGTGTGTAAACAGCGACTCACGGTGATGATGTCGTTCTTCCTGAAGCCCAATTCATCGTCGTCGTGGCGCTC